AAAGAAGGAAAGAAAAAAGAATAAGAAAATTTTAACAGTATTTGGCATTATGTGGTTGATAAAATTCATAACTAGTTGGATAATTTCCAACTGGTTTTTGCATATGTGGATAAGATCCATGTGTATGATAGGATAAATCTTGTTGTGTAGGTGATGTACAAGTATCCGATAATGATGTTGAAGGTATTTGATTAACCATATACTGTCTTGTTGTTGTTGTTGGAAAATATGATTGTGTTGAATATGGCCAATAACCATTTGATGTTGGAATAGATGATGATGAACCATAATCATTATTTGAAGAATAAATATTTTGTGTATTATGATGATTACCATTTTGAATATGATAAAAATTTGTTTTATTATTATTTATTGTTGATGAATTAACAGTTGAATCATACATTCCAACAGCTGTCATTGTATCAAAAAGATTAAAATTTGATATTCTCATTGATGATGATGATGATGATTTTGGTGATGAAGATGAATGATTATATGTTGATATATGATCACCAGATTCACTAGCTTCGACTGGTTCTACTTTTGGAGTTGTATATCCACCGGCATGTTTCTAAAAATTTTATATTGAAGAAAAAAAAAAAACAAAACAAAAAATAGAAACATTTTGATAATACTTTTTTTGGTGATTCTAAATAATTTGTTTCATCTGATGGTGTATCTTTATCAAGTTGATTACGTGTACGACTTAATTTTGTATCAATTTGATTAGTTGGACTAATTTGATTAGGTGAATTTCGATGTCCTCCTTTTTGTTTTGAATTTTGTTGAGGTCGATGATGATTATTTGATGTTTCTTGTTTAAAACGACGACGTCGTCGTAAAAATGAACCATTTTCAAACATACTGTGCGAATCTGGATGAAGCATCCAATAAGATCCTTTACCTATTTTATAAAATAATCCTATACTGGATACAAACAAACAACAAAAAAAAAAAAAAAAAAAGAAACAAACCTGGTCGTTTATCATCTCGTGTAACTTTAACAAAACAATCATTTAATGATAAATTATGACGAATTGAATTTTGCCAACCTTGTTTATTTTCTCGATAATACTATTTTGAAAAAAAAAAAAAAACGAAGAACAAAAGCAAAACTTAAATATTATCTCGATTATAAAATTCTTTCTAATTAACTATTTTTTTTTTTTTTTGTATTTCATTTCATATATATTTTTTAAAACTTACTGGATAATGATCCATAATATATTGATATATACCATTTAAAGTACATTTTTGACCTGGACTATTTTGAATAGCTGATGTTATTAATGCTATATAACTCATAGCTGGTTTAGCTAATTCTTTTGAATTAACTGATGCCATTGCATAAGAATAAGCAGCCGCTGATGGACGTGATAGTAAATGATATGCAGCTGCATCAGTATAACCGGAATATGGATTCGTTTGATGAACATTATAGGATGGTACTACTGATGTGGATGTTGTTTGTATTAATCGATTTGTCGTTGGTCCATAATAAGAAGCAGCAGCAGCAACGGCTGCTGCACTAGTTGAATCATAATAATTTGAAAAATTTGTTGATGTTAAATTATTATTTGTTGATGAAGTAATTGGTGGTGATGTTGAATTTGTCATAACTGTTTTTTTTTCTTCGTTTTGTTTTTTTGTTTTATTATTTAATTAGAGAAACAAACAGGAAAAAATTAAAAATATTAATTGATTATCACAGTGATTATTTTAATAACAAAAAAGAGAAAAAGAAAAAAAAAACAATAACATTGATACTATAAGCCAAATAAAACAAACAAGGGTCTAGTCGATATATAACATTAAAAAAAAAATCAACTGGGGGATAGACGAATGTATGTTTTTCGTAATAATAAACAGAAATTACGATTTGATCGACTGTTTTTATTACTTTTTCTCTCTCTCTCTTCTCTCTATTGCTTTTTTTTTTCCACAGCCTTGGACACGAAGATTTTTTTTTTCTTGATTAAATAAATACAAGTTCTTCCCGATAATCAAGAATAATATAACAAGCGCGAAGAGACTGCTACTAACATATGCTTACTCATCAAGCAATTTTTTTTTTTCTTTCATCATTATAAGAATAACAAATCCAGTCGTCGAGTTTTTCTTCGCTCTCTTATTGTACTTCTTTTCTACTGCCAATCGTTATTGCCGATGACATTCTTTTTTCTGTTACACGAATCAGAATTTTTGACCAATCAAAATGATTTTTGTTTTTATATCGTTCGTCGTCCAGGAGAAAGAATGTTGTTGTTGTTACTACACATTTGACAAGTTGCGGCTGTTCTACTCGAACAAAAAAAGAAAACTAAAAAAAAAAAAAAAGCAACATGATTTATTGATAAATCAATTAAAATTAAGATTAAAAAAAGAAACTTTTTCAATATACTCCTGCTGTTAACCGGTGGTGAATTTAGAATTCCGGGAAGGAAGAGAAGATGGCTATAGTCAAAAAAAATCTGTTTTAAAATTCATTGGAAATCGAATTGATCGTTTTGTGCTGAGAAAAATATTTCGGAAGGGAAGAATGAGCGTTCCTCTCTAAATCAACTACTGCTTTTAAGCATTTGAATATAAAGAATAATGTTTGTAGGTTTAATTTTACCAGTTAGTATCAATCTGAAAAATAAAACGATCTTTGACACATGTCAATAATCCATTCTTCAGGCGCCGCATAGTCAAACTTTGATTTTGCCTATTGGATATAATTAGTGTGTGGGGTTAAGTTCGTCATGCGGTCATTTAAGATCAGTGACGTTGTTGAAATAATATTTGTATAAACACATAGCCATCGTCAATCAACACAAGGTGTTCATCTGTTTTTTTTTCTATTTTTGTTGTAGTGATTTATATATAAAAGGTTTCGTTTGTTAGCTTGAAGGTATAAAAATATAGAATGAAATAAATCAAATAACATGCACCGCAAATTTTTTTTTTTTTTTTTTCTTCATTCTGGAAAATAAACTTGTAATCTATTGAAATATTCACTTACGAATTGATTGATTGATTTGTGATTTGGATGAACAATATTCTGGATATATTAAAGAATAGTGAATCTGTTGTTAGTTATATGTCTATCTTCATCTTATATTTTCTCTTTTCTGCATCTTTCACGATCGTTTCTTTATATCCTAATGGATTAGGTTTTTTTTTTATGATCAAAGCATATATTTATACAGATTTGTAACATAAATACACATTCATTGACGAGGTCTCATAACAAACTTTGTTATCCTAGCCTCTCTTCTTTGTTTTTTTCTCTTAAGCACTCAGAACGAGTACAAAATGTTTTTTCTCTTTATATAGAAAAATATATATATATATATGTAAGTACTCACATAATCATCCATATTAGTCTCTATTAATAAAAATTTAAATGAATATTTAATTCATTCATCATCCGGTAAAACATTATGTTTGATCATCTATCTCATTTGAATGAACCCGAACAACATTCACATATGGTAGTTAATGTTAAGAAAACAATTAATTTGGCTCAATCTTGATTACTTTTGATATCTGTTGTAAGTCTATATAAACATAACTAAAAAAAAAGAAAGAAAAGGAATTTTCTAATGGAAATTACAGATGTACTAAAGTTTTTTTTTTTGTTTTGAATAAGAGTTGATGTAAAAATTAATATTGTCTGAAGACAAAAAAGAAAATTTATCCATGACTAATTTCAAATATATATATATATATATCCCGAAATTACATATAATCGTGATCTATGTGAAAATATATAGTTGATAGTTAAAATTCATTGTTTGAAAAATGTACTTGACTTTTTCGATTAACTATGTTTGCAAATGAAATAACAACAAAAATAACAGTCGAAATATTTGTTTTAATCAAACTAATTTTAAATTTGATTTCTTATATAAGCAATCAGAATGAATATTAAATGAAGATAGTCAAATATATTTTTTTATGTTAGTCTTAACTAACATTGTGTAATGAAGTAGGTTTCTCTTTCCTTTTTTTTTTTTTTTCGGTTGCTCAATTGATGAGAATTGAACACAACTGTTTGATTGATGAGAAAAAATTAGATATGATTAGTATGTTGTTTTTTTTTCTTCTTTATCCAACTGTTCCTCACATCAATTTTTATCGGTTAAAGACTAATGGTTGTTGATTCAAGGCAACAACCGATTGACCCTCGGGTATTGCACATATATTTTTCTTTTCTATAGACCTAAAAATATGTAGAATTGAGTGTAATGCACTATGCTCAGAAGTACGATTCTTTTTTTTTTTTTTTTTCTTCTTTCGATTGTTTGCGAAGAACTTGAAATTGAATGAACAAAAGTTCCACACACTTCTCACAATGATGAAATCTCCAAAAAAGAACAACATAAAATTTTTATTCGTTCTTCTCTTATATACATTGCTTGAAATGGCTAAGGCGGAGATGTTGTCAGAAGAGAATAAGAGAATGTTTGTTTAACTTGTTCCATTACCATAGAAAGAACGAAATATATTCATTCGATGAACAGGAAAATTGGCTAAACTAATTTGAATAAACATACGCTAGAAAAGATAAGTACAAGCCATAAACCATATCTTAATGCCTTAAGCTAGTTATCAATTGAATAATATAGAAAATCGAATATCGTCGTCACTCAGTCTAATGTTTCATTTAAATCCATATCCGAAATAATATTTTCGATTTAGAACATGGGTATACATTGAGAATAGGACATTTCCTTTTCACTTAGCTCAATGGCATTCTGCTATCTAATGTTTGATCAGGTTGATGTCTATGCTTGTGGCAATCAAATGTCTAGTATATGTTAATCGTCATGCTGTGCTTTTGATCCTATTAGTATTGTGCATTTATTTTGTTCATTGAAAATGAAATGATCAAGTTAGATATTATATAATCACAGTATGAAACGTTCTTATGTCAATTATTTAGCTTTATTTTTTTCAGTTGGATTTAGATTTATATGAAAAATTTTTTCATTTTTTTTTTTTGTATTTTATTTTTAAGATGGAAAAATTTGTTTTAACAAATTTTCAGTAAGTCCAGTTGATTGTTGTTGTTGCTGGTCTTTCTTTTTAATTTTACGTTGTTTAGCAGCTTCATATGGATCTTGTTGATCATAATGCCATTCACGTATATTTAAATCTTCTGATGATGTTTTCATTTTTTTTTCAAGTTTACGTAATTTATGACCTTTTTCAACATTTTCAATGTACAAATTTGCTTCACGTTTAGCTTGAAGTACTTCTTGTCGTAATCGTTTTTTTCGTACTTCATTTTCATATTGAAATCGTTCATGAAGATGAGTCCAACGAAATTTTGATAGATATCTAATTAATAATACAGTAAAAATAAAAGAATAATGAATTATATATATATATTTAACTTACTTTATATTCCAGATATCATCATACCATGGTGTTCGTCTTCGTCCACCAACTTGTTGATTATTAAGTTGTTTAGCTATAAGTTTAGCATCACGTTTAGATTTAAATTCAATCCAACCTTCAGTATATTTTGGTCCACGTTCACGTTTATGTTTACCTTCATTTTCTTTATAGAAACAGAATAAAAAAAAACATAATATATATTACCGAAGAAAAATAAATTTAAAGAAAATTTTTAACAAAATTAAAATTTCAAGTTTTCCTATAGAAAAAAAAAATAATAATAATCTTTTACGTTTGATAGAATCGATAAAAAAAATCGAAATGAAATAAAAATGTACACTTAAATAAACCTTGTACATATGACGTAAGTAAATATTCGTGTATTACGCTTTTATTACTATGAAACACTTCTATAAATTGCTCTTTTTTTTTTTTTGGTTCTTCAACATGGTTAGAGAGATTCTCAGCTCAAATTCGAAATACATTTAAAATTAAAATAATATCAGTTTGTAGCGTATAACATTAGTGCAGATCAGAAAATAATTCGCAACTTGAATAAAAAGAACGTTTATGTACATTGAAATGCGAATATCGAAAGAAGAGTTTTCTAATCTCCTTTACTGAAAAAAAAAACAGTTTAATGACGAAACAAAAATATTCATAAAAAAGAAGATATAATATTGTCAGTTTTGTTGACTGTTGAAAATGTTTAATAGACATGTAATCTTTGTCGTTGAAGGCGAAGAAAAATTTTGGCAAATTCTTATTAATCTAACTTCAATTTATTGTACGGATCGTGTTTACTAATAGTCAACGATCCTCAATTCAAGTCATTGTTGATCTGTGATCTAATATGTTCTCAAAAACTTTCTCTAAATCTATTTGATTAAAAAAAATTGTAACGATTAGTCGCCGAAGGCGACGAAAACTATTGACATTTGTATAAGACTTGTGACATGCTATTCAATTCTATCAATTTGATGAAAGAAGAAAAAAGATTGTTTGAGCCTATCATAGTCCATGAAACGTGAACATAGGGTAGGTATGAGCATTCTGAAACCTTATAGCTCGGCCACCTATGATGGATACTATCTACTAACGACACAAGATTCTCAGAAGATTTTTTTCGTCTGTCAAGTTCGTTACATTGATCATTTTGGTAAAAACAATATTCAAATTTACTCAATAAATCACGGTGTTAGGACCAAAGTACTCAAAAACTTCGGCTATTTCTAACTGCTGTTCAGCAGTAGTTGACAATTTAAAGTGTTTTCACCCTAGCACCATGATTTATTGAATAAATTTGAATATTTTTTTTAATCAAAATGATCAGCGGAATGAGTTCTACGGGTAAGAAAATCTTCTGAGAACCTTCGGTTTTTTGTGATTGACTACCCATGGACGTACGATTCGTAAGCATATTATTATTGACACAAGTGTAATCTTCTCATAATTTCAAGCATTCGATCTATCGGAATTATCTAACTATAATTTTCGTGATCTACATGAAATCAATTCAACAACTTTGACTAATAACAGTCTTCATTCAAGCCTGCAAAGTGTATATGAATATAGGATTAATGAATCCTATTGAAATATGTCATTGGAATCTGACGCTGCACATTTGTTAATACCAACGCCGGTTGATTGTCAGTATACCGACGGTCTTTGTTCAGTTTAAAGCATATTGGATAGTTCCTGTTCAGTAAAATAAATTTGCAGCAAAAAAGACAATGTTGGTACGAAATGTTATTCATCAAAAATGAAATTACGTTTAAATGTCTAATTCAATTATTGTATTTTTGAAATATTAAACTAAAAATGTTTAAACTAGAGCTGTCAATAGACAATTTTTTCTGACTTAATGTATCATTCTTATTTCAATTATTCACTCAATTTATTTCCAATAAAATCAGATAATAACAAGGTTTTCTGTACGAAATTAAAACAGAGAGACAATCATTATAAATATTTTTCCTACAAGAACAACTTGAATTAATGCAAGGTCTTTTTTTAAATTCTATCAGTACTGTCTCGCATAATCGAAAAAAATGTAATCTTAAATTGCAAAAAAACAACATATAATCAGACATGCAATAATAAGGTAAACGAAAATGTAAGGAATAAGTGACACTTATAACAACAGACAAGGACGTTTACATTTTAATAATCAATTTTTCGAAATAACACGAATGCAAAATTGAGTATTCGATTGTTATGTATCTAAACAAGTTCTTCTATCAGTCGTACAACACTAAACTGACGTTCAGTTTAAATATTTATTACTGAAGTCAAATGAATTTGTAAAAGTATTCTCGAATAATAAGACAATGCATCAATATTTAATTTCCAAAACGTAAGAGCCAAGCCAGTAGCTCTGATTTAAAATTCTTCTATACGAAAAAAACCTGAAATTTTTAGTTGTTCTAGAAGAAATTAAAATTTATTCTCGAAAACTTTCCAAATTTTGAATCTATGAATATAAAAAAAAAAAGACAAACAGAATTATTTACTTGATAATTGTAAATAGATTCGTCCAGTTTGACCATATTGATCAAAATATGATCGAATAATTGTAACATTCATTTTATTTGGAATACGACTAAGATAAATAACACCAGGTATTGGTTTCTTTTTAGTTTCTGAAATACGAACAATTTTATCATTTGCTTCAGATTGATCAATTGAAGATGTTGGCTGTTCTTCTTCTTCTTCTTCTTCTTCTTCTGGTTCATCGTTTTCACTTGATGATATCTTACGTTTCTTACTCATTGTGAGAATTTATCTAAAATTTAATATCAATGAAATCTTCTTTTTATTTCTCTAATTTACAAATAATAACTAAAGTTCAAGAAAATGATTTCTTGCCAAGTTTCTATAAGTGTAAAAACAGTGAGGTTTATGTATCAGAGAGAGAAACTATAAAGTAAGACATAATAGCTTTGATATGATATAATTCTTGTCTGTTTTTTTTTTACGTTTACCAATATGACCAATTCGTTTGTGTATTATATAGAATAAGAGACTTTGCTGTGGTTATGATTATTAATTTCACTTTATTACTGTTAGTGACCAATTTAAAAAAGATATTTAATATTCTTTGTTGGTCTGTTTTTTTTACTTATTGAACAATTGAAAAAGGAGATGCAGAATATTATCTTCTTTGCTTAACATTAATCAATTTCAAAAGAAGTATTGCCAAGTTTTCCTCTGAACAATACAACTTAATCATTTATGTATTTATCTATTTTTAAAATTCACGTATACGACCATAGGTCAAATATCAGAGAAAAGAACGGCTCGATTCGATTCTAAAAGAAACGAAGCGATCCTATCACTGTCAAATACTATAAAGTTGAATGTGATTAAAATTATTAAAACAATGTGTTATATTAAGAAAAAATCATTCATGCGACTAGACTATCATTATTGACAAAATAAACGTGTGAAAGAATAAAAGTCTAAAACACATCAAAAGAATAAACCATTGATTTTAGATTAAATCATTTGATGGCAGTGATGTGTCTTCCTCACAGCGCCATATTTCTATTTCGTAATCAAAACATAGTATAGTAATGATGAGTATAACTCCAATGAATCAATGAACCTGTTTTTAAGCACTGAATGCCGTTAAATATAATTGATTTCACATGCGAATCATGATTGTTAGTGGAATTGTGAATATCTGAATTTATTTATTTTACTGATGGAAAAACATCGATTAGTTTGAATGAACTTATTAAAATAACAACAACAACAACATCTGTTGGTATATTTCTTGTTCCAATTTTATTCAGTTATATAGTTGATGATAAAGGTCGAAAGAAAAGATATAAAATATATCAAATTTGATATCATATCTGAAAAAAAAGAAAAGAAAAAAAAGGTTTTCTAGGTGTTGAGTAAATTATTATTTTTGTTCTGGAAATACAAAGCACAGTATAAGCTTTTTTCTTTTCGATTTCTGTTCATATTAAGGTAATTATCCTCTAATCTTCTTTTTTGTTTATGTTAATCAAATTTACAACGATAAAATATGGTGAATTAATGATAACAGCTGATTTTTGCTATGCAAGGTGTTGAAATTCTATTAGAAGCAGCCATTTACTCTCATCACTAGGTTCATATTTCCATTGAACGTGTGATCCTCTTATATTCAATTATATCCGGCGATTAATCATCTGTTTTGGTTGCATGCCTACATATATTATTCTTTATTATAGTTTAACAATCTCAGAATTACTTTAATATTTACGAGGGAAACCTCTCCAAGTATCAAATCGATTTTCGATCGAGACGATGTTCATTTGATGAGTAATAGAAAAACCTGGAATAGTTTGATTTTCTCGCTCTTCATTCTTGGGATATCAAAACTTTGCTTGAACAAAGTTTGAAGTTGAAAGTCGATTTTTCATGTGACCTAATCGAGGGAGAACCCAGTAAGATTTCGATATCTCGAGAATGAAGAGTCTAGAAAACCAAACCATTCTAGATTTTTCTATTAATCTCTAGCGCTCATCAAATAAATATCGCCTCGGTCGAAAAGCGATTTGATACTTGAAGAGATTCTTTTGTCAGCTAATGTTAAATTAAATATTCAATAAAGCAATTAATTATACATAACAACAATTTTTTTTTTGTATAGAAAAACAAAAATAAAGTTGTTGAATTAGAAAAACTGAATTCGTGAAACGAAAGGATCGATTGGTTACTATTTTATATTGCTTAACACTGAATCAAAATATGGTACTCAGTATTATATCATTACATAAGAATGTAATAAATGTATATGATACAATGCGAAATTCAATGAAAAGCATTCTTGGTATAACGAGTGACGCAGATTAAATGGAACATTGGGATACAATTTACAAAAATTTGTTTTATACTTATTCATTAGAGAATTTTTTGACTCTAAAAGCTGTGGAATTAGTTTTTTAAATAATTTTTTCTTGTCGGAACAAGATTTAAAAGGTTAATATCAATTCAATATTCGATCTTCTGGAGACATTTATCGATTTGTGTAAGTCTTTGTTCGTTAAGATCGTGATACTATCCCTCGGAAGAAAAAGACTTACGCCATCGGGTACAGAATTCAATTCTAAACAAAGTGATGTGACTGTTCAGTTGAAGAATAACAATAAGGTTCAACCGAAGAAAAAACAAGTAATCATATTATTCTGCCAGAAAAGGATTATATTAATGTTTTCACTTCAAAAATTTTAGAACATATGTCAAAGATGTCAAATCTCGTGGGATATTTGAATTTACAGCAAAGAAAAAGTTTTGCATCATTTTTTTTTCTGACTGTTGCAGCTAGATGATTGAATAGGTGTTAGTCTTTTAAATTTCACTTTCACAAGAAAATGTAATTTGCAAAAAATTAAAATCGATCATTTTCTAGAGCGAAACTTTCTCAATCGAATGAGTATAGAACAAATTTCTAAAATCAAATCTAACTGTCCAAAAAAAAAAACACTGTAAAATCTCGAGAATGATGTTAATTGATCCTATTAGTCTTGAATATTGAGTTACAGTATTACTTATCGAATGCATATAGATCATTTTAAAATTCAATTATTTACTTTTGTTGCGCATTGCTCACTTTTCTTTTTATCACTCTATCAATTACTTATCCTTTCATTATTATTCAAGCTATTATCTTTGGATTTATTTATAATTTAGATAAATTTTAGTTCTAATGTTACTATAACCTGTAATCTTTTTTGTGACACACATTCTAAAAGAAATCTTGACGTATAAGAGTAAAAATTTCGACCACTCACAGACATTATTGATATATGATCACAGATCGTATATCAATAACATCTCGTTACAATCTATCAACTACTTCTTTATTGCATTTCTCAAGGATTAAGTAAAAAGTTAGTAATGAAATGTGTCTTAAAAACAGATAGAATAAAACAATCTTCTTGTGACTAAGAAGAACAACTACATGGTGTTTTACAGTTTATCCTCACAGGAATTGTGCTAACAGCTTTTTAGGTTATTATTTTAGCTGAAATCTCTTCTACTCATTGGCATTCTATTTCTCATGATCTTTGTTCTCGAAAGTGATATATTAGCTACTCATATGTGTCCTGAGCGAGAGTAGAGCCTGTTAGATTGGTGTAGAATCTGGGTCCAATGGGCTCTAGTAACAGGCGGAGTCACTCCTCAATCTTAAGAACTGTTCGTTTTTTTCCAGTGAGATTTCCACGTTTTATTCCTTTGTTTTCTCAACAAAACGCTCGATCTCGCTCCTAAACTCGATCAATTTTAGCAAAAATCTTCCTGAATCGTTGGCTCGTTCAATCCTATTGATTGTTGTTAATTATTTTCGATTATTAATTGTTATATTATCTATTTTAATAACATTAAACATTTGCCTATTACCTGAAATAAATATTCGACTATTAGACGAAATATCATCGATCAAATTTTAATTTTATATCTAAGAAAAAAAAGAAAATATTTTTGACTTTCATTGTAGAAAGGAGAAAAAAAAAGAATGAATGTATGTTGTTCTAATAATCAATAAATGAAGAAGAAAAAATCAAGTTCTTCAGCTAGTTTAAACAATCATATATGGAATCAATAAGAAAACCAAAAAACAAGAAAAAGATGGAACAACTGAGATTCGCCGATCACAATCAAAAATAAACGACAAAAAAAAAACCAAATGGAAGTGCAAAAAAACAAAAAAATCATAATCAAAGTCTTGCGTATATGTTCAATACTAATTTGGATTGAGTCGCCTAAGTAAGAAAAAAGAAAACAAAAAGAAAAACAAAGAAAAATCAATTCATATGTGCAGAAGAAGACAACAAAAGTGTTCATAGTTATTAAGATATTTTTTTTCTTTCTTTTGACATTATATGTGAGAGTAAGCAAGAAACAAAGATTTTGGAAATGATGAAAACATAGAAACGCAAGTATTATATGTTTACTCGATGATTTATTTACATTTTAAGTGAAAAGACAAGTAATAAGAAATCTTCATAATTAATTGTTATTTCTCCATTTTGTAAACGATCGTGTTGACGAAAAGCATTTGTTAATGTTTGAATTGATACACAAGCTTGAATGAAATCATCAAATGCAACTGTACCACGACCAGTTCGATCAAATTTTCTAATAAGTAAATCATAGAAACGATCTGATAGACGATAACCTAGAAAAATAGATCAAAAAATTGAATTAGTGAAATAGTTTACAAAAAAAAAATAAACAATATTGAAAATGAAAAGAATGAATGTATTGCATGCATTTATATTGATCGACAATCGTAAAATAGCTAGAAAAAGGGAATAATAATGCAAGCAAAAGATTAAGTCTTATACATGCATGCTTAAGTAATATAATAAACAGTGATAATAAGCATTGATAGACAAAAAATTCTTATAGGTTTAATGTAATATCCTACACCATAAGATATCTACAAAAAAAACACGAACATACCAAACGAGCTCAATGCTGTTTTGAGCTCGTGTTTATCAATAGAACCACTACCATCCAAATCGAATTTCCTAAAATTCATGATATTTTCAATTTCTTTTGTTTTTTGTTATTCAAAAGAAAAACCTGAAACATTTTTCCCATTCAGTAACATATGACCAAAGAGCACGAAATTCTTGATAATCAATTGTTGATGATCCATCATGATCAAACATCCCTATGCAAGTAAATGAACAAGCAATAGAATAATTTTCTTCCGTTTCTCAAAACAAAACAACACAGAAGGAAATTCTTCAATCTCTGATTATCGATCA